CTCTCTCTCTCTCTCTCTCCCCCCGTCCCGCCTCGGCCGCCCCCTCACCTGGCGTGCCGGATGGAGGCGATGGCGTTGCTGAAGTCGCTGTCGATGCTGCGGCAGTTGTAGAACTCCTCGTAGGCCGGCCGGGACGAGCCCTGGTACTCGATGCGGCTGATGCGGCAGATGCCCACGATGAGGATGATGAGCATCAGGATGAAGGCCACACACAGCGCCCCGATGATGACGTACAGGGAGTGGCGGGGCATGTTGCTGAGACTCTCCGCCATGTGCCCGGACTTCCACTGCAGATCTGGAGGGGAAAGAGACCGCGGGGGTCAGCCCTGGGGGTTCCCCCTCACCCCAGTGACAGAATCCAAGGGCCGCCAACTGGGAGAATGGTTTTCTCTGGAAGCAGGTCAAGGGCCAAGGTCTTTAATAAAAAAGGACTTCTTACAAATCCACGCGAAAGAATCACGACGGAGGCAAAGGCTAAAGCAGGAGAATACCAACGAGATCCTAATAGAACAGTGTCCAGCATCTCAACTATAAAGCAAAACGGCACTTGCTCTGGTTTTACAGATTATTTTGCACATTTAAAACATGTGGAAGGAAGGTTCGCAATCTTTGCCTCCAATGAGTCTGCACTTCCTCCAGGATTCCCTGGAGCAGGTCTACTCTGGCCGAAGGGCCGCTGTGAATACGAACTGACTCGATGGCGGTCAGCTAGCTTTGATTTCCTATCAACACAAGGGCGGCCAAACCCAAACATCTGCTCTCACTTCTTAGACTGCTCAGATGCAGTCACTATGGTAGGGGGCTGTGGGAGTTCCTGACGTGTTATTTTTTTTAATTAATTTTAATGAAAGTTTACAGAGACTTAGGGTTTCTAGTCATTCATTGTTGCACTTTTCCCCTGATGGCCCCTCTCCCACAATTCACTCTTCTCCTTGAATAGTAAAACTCTTTCGTTGTTATACAATCCCTCCCCCCACCCCCAAGTCCACTCCACTTGTGCAACCTTCATTCTGGACTCCTGTCATGACAATAATACCCCATCAGATATCCTAAAATCAGTTCTCTCCTGATGAGTTCTTATGGACTCTGCCTAAGCTTCGCAAAGCATCTTAACCTTGTACAGAAGAGGTGCCCACAGTGAGTATAAGGACCTCTGAGGAGCAGCAGTGGTCCAGGCTGCCCCCTGTGCTGCGTTCCAGGCTCCCACCAGGACTGCCCGCCTTTCCAACCATCTGCCTCATTGGCTAACACCCTGCGCTCCAACCAGGTGGGACTCTGGGAATAAACTTTCACAGGATTTCTTGTAAAGTCACTGCTCTGTCCATTCTCCTTGTCTTTTTCTTTAAAACTGGATTCCAATTTACTGTCATCTGATATTCAGAGTGCTAAGTGGGGCTTCTCAATACCAAGTGCTCTCAGCAGGCCGGCAGGTGCTGGGGGACCAGCCCCCAGGCAGAAGCCCAGTCTCTCTCCTCCCTGTGACTGTGGCCACCACATCTCAGCCCAGTCACCATCCTCACAAGCCAGGGTTTGCCTTATCCTGGGAGTCCTACTGCATGAATCACCTACTCTACTGCTGGTGACAACACGGGCTGGGAGGGCGACCACACCACCCCAACAGCTGCATAGCAACGGCACCACCCCAGCAGCAGCATGGCCAGAGCCTCTCAGGACAAAGGTCTTCTTCTTCTTTTTTTTAATATTTTAATTTATTTATTTTTCATTTCAATGAACATCTACAGAGATTTTGG